TCAGTTTGAGAATTTCAAGTCTTATATTGTGTTTGGTGATCACATTTGGAGGTGATTTTCTTATAGGATAAGCCATAGGGATTGAGTCCCAAGCTTTTACATGTGGTAAAACCCAGTTTCTCTGGCACCTTATTTTGAAGAGACTGTTTTTCCCCTTTGGATTTTGGATATCTTTTCTTTAATATTAATATTAAAAATAAGTATGCAGGATGCTAGCAAGAAGGCTCAGTGATAAAAGAGATTGCTTCTAAGTCTAATGACTTGAATTTGAATTCAAGCCCCAGATCTCCACGGTGAAAGAAAATAACTGACTCTCTCAAATTGGCATTTGATTTTCACATGTGCACTATGGCATTCACATATTTGGTAGTGTGAGCACATGCATACACACAGAATAAATAAATGTTAATTTTTAATTAATATATTAAGAAAAATACCTGTTCTTGGAATTGAGGTTTTTTTCACATTAAAAGCTATATATTCCTCATATTTGCAAATGTATCAAGTTTCTTATAACTGCAAAGTATGAAAATCTGTTTAAACATGAAATGCACACACTATGAGTATACATAAATCTTGAGAAAAAAATATTAAATGGAAAATCAGACTCGGGAAGTCTTTAATGAATATTTAGTATTGAGAAAACAAAATAAAAAAAGCTTCAAACTAAAAAAAAATTACTTAGTAACATAGGAAAACAAGAGGAGAAAAACAACATGCAGACTTCCTCTACAGTTCTGTCTGTCTCCCTCTCCCCCTTTCTCAAGCTGGAAAATAGTATGCATCATCATGGATTAATTTTACAAGCAGAAAGGAAAGACATTTTACATTTTACATTCTGCACAAATCCCAAATTCCTCTGACAGGGTAGATGCCACCCCAACGTCTATGGAGCCAAGACAGAGAAAAGTCCCTTTAATTGATAGACTCCAGTGTCCATTGGCCTCCTCCCTCACCAGCTCATCCATCTGTCTGCCACCTAGTTTCACACCAACCTTGCTGGACAGAGGTGTCTTGCTGGAGAATCCACTAAACACTTAGCTTCCCTCTAGAAATCCTAGTGCATTATCTTTGAATACAGCTCATGGAAATTCTAACTGCTGCATCATGGTCTCTTGTAAGACAGAGGGAAGGAGGTAAGGCTGAGTGCAGGGAGATAGGAGGAGTTGATACTTCCCTTCTACTGAGTCCTCATGGTAAGCAATGCTTACCATGTGTGTGATCTCTACACCTCAGAAAGGTAAGTGTGGCAGACATTCTAAGGGAGTACAGGAAATAGAAAATAGATAGTTGGTTTTGGTGCTCAATTAGTTTGGGAGGATGTTATCAGGTGTAACCTCCTGTGTAATTATGGAATTGATTTTTTACAAAATCATGACCAGCTTTATCTCTCCGTTACATGAGTAGCTACCTATAATCTCTTACTTATATAAGGATGATTCATCACTTTGCTTCTCATATCACTGGGCAGTGATGATAAATGCAAGGCCACCTCCTGTACCTACCCCTGTGCTGGGATTCTCCGGACATGGCATAAGCTTTAGCTAGTAGAGCACTCGCCTCAGCAGTTTGGGGGCTGATTTCAGAAAATGAAGAAACACAAATAGAATAGGCCTGGGGGGAAAAAAAAGAAAAACATGACAATATCAGTACTCAGTGACAGTCTAGAAACTCATGACAACATCAGTACCTAGTGACAGTGACAGTCTAGAAACCCACGACAACATCAGTACCCAGTGACCATCTTTTGCTGCATTTTTCAGCAGCTGTCAGAATTGCTAGCTGACTGGGAGCCAACTCAGCTAAACACAGAATTACATGGGAGTGGAGCCTGAGTTCCATCGCAGCCACTTCCTTTTGTGGGTCTTGAACAAATAATTTCACCTTCTTATGCAGGATGGAATGTATGGGTCTTACGGATTAGGGCTCAGAAAAGATTAAAGGAGTCGCCATATGCAAACACTGGGCACTATCCATCATCTGGTCAGTTCTAACTAAATCTTAGCTTCATTACTTCCACTGGGTCTCACAGCAGACTGTAACTACAACATTAGCCCAGAATCTCAAGAATTCACTATCAAAGAATCATAAAACATGGGTCCAAGAGATCCAGTACTGCTTAGCCACTTACCATGATAGAGAATGGTCCCTTATCTTCTTCAAATATAGGATAAAAAGATGATAAAAATAGAATTTGTTACAAATAGTTGCTGTAAATGTTAAATAGGTCAACATGTGTGAAGTGTTTTATAGTATCACCTGGCATTCAGTAACCATTAAAGAAGTGTAAGATAATAATTAGTTGTATTATTAATATTATTTGTATTTTAATGGGAAGTATGTCACTTAAGAAGAGAGAAGAGTGAAAACAGCTGACTTGTAGCTACCAGCAAGGAAAGAAGCACCCATGCATGACAGTTCACCAGCCAACCCTTAACTATCTCAAGAAGCTAAAGGGATTATCATCACCCACCCACTATGAAGCCAAGACAGTGCAAAGTGTGCACACTGTTCCATTAACTATAAGCTACTGGGTTAGATTTCCTGAGTTCAAATCTCTGCTTTGCAACCTATCAGCCAAGCAACTTCAGCTGAATCAGCCATAAATCTCTGTGAAATGAAATACATACTCAAGTGCACACAATAATAAATGTTAACTCTGATTTTTTGGTTTTGTTATAAACATTGATGTTCATTACTACTTTCTTCATTCTAATTTGATCAATTTTTGTTTATTTGGTTGGTTTTTGGGTTTTCAAGGCAGGGATTCTCTGTATAGCCCTGGCTGCCCTGAAACTCACTTTGTAGACCGGACTGTCCTCAAACTCAGAGATCTACCTGCCTCTGCCTCCAGAAAGCTAGGATAAACGGTGTGTGCCACCACTGCCTGGCTTGTCCACAGTTTTAAGAGAGCCTTGAATTCAAAACTCATGCCTTCCTCTGCAGGCAGTGACTCTGGCACAAAAGCAGATCCCCTAATGCTTCTCTCCATTGCCTGGTGTTTATAAACTTGGGTTGTCAAATTGTTTCCCACACCTGTTCTTAGCTCTATGGCTTTTGACATAAGTAGCTGTGCTACTACTTTCCCCATGTATGAAATCCCGTATGTCAGTATAATCTGTTGTGAAAGCAGATTTCTGACAGCACTGCAACATTTTATTCAGAAGAAAGGTGAATTTAACTAACAGTTTAAGTACATTTTAAAGGGAAGTGCCTAAAATGGTTTTTATATCAGAGGCTCAATATTTGTTCCTTTGTTTTAGCTTGCCACAAGTATTTGTCAATTAGTTACCTCTAAGTGAGATACACTTTTATTTGTTTAACCATAGATTTGGAAATAAAACCAGCTGCAGTGAACTGACAGGACATCTGATATAACAAAATGTCATGGCTTTTCAAATAAGAAACCTGCCTTAGGGTTTCTATTGCTGTGAAGAAACACCATAACCATGGCAGCTTTTATTTTATTTTATTTTATTTTCAGTTTCTTTTTTTTCCTCCATTTTTTAATTTGATTAGAAACAAGATTGTTTTACATGGCAATCTCAGTTCCCTCTCCCTCACCTCCTCCCCTGCCCCCCCAACTAACACCCTACCTACCCCATACCCTTTCTGCTCTCCAGGAAAGGTGAGACTTTCCATAGGGGGTCTTCAGAGTCTGTCATATACTTTGGGATAGGGCCTAGGCCCACTCCTGTGTGTCTAGGCTCAGGGAGTATCCCTCTATGTTGAATGGGCTCCCAAAATCCAATGACAGCTTTTATAAAGGAAAACATTTCATTGGTGCTGACTTACAGTTTAGTTCATTGCTGTCATGGCAGGAAGCCTGGTGGCATGCAGGAAGACACGGTGTTGGGGAAGGAACTGAGAATTCTACATCTGATCCATAGGAGACAGGAAATGAACTATCACACTGTGTATGGCTTGAGTATATATAGGATCTCAAAGCCTGACTCTACAGTAACACATTTCCTCCAACAAAGCTACACCTACTCCAACAAGACCACACCTCCTAATAGTGCCACTCTTTATAGGCCAAGAATTAAAAATCATTTTTTATAACTACTGTTACTTGTTTGTATATGCAGACAAATAGTATTATTACTATTATTACTTGCTTGTGTACAGACAACATGTCTAGGCGAGAGAGCTACTATGTGGAATCTACTGTTCCTTCCACTTTCACTTGGGTTCCTGGGATCAAACTTTGGTTACCAGGTGTTTGCCTAGCAAACACCTTTGAACTGTCTCACCAGTCTTCCCTTTTTGTATTCTTTAAGTCAAGTTCAGCTGCCCTAATGTGTTTTATGTCTTGGGGTCGACTCAAGCTTGGTTTCTTCCCAGCATTGACAGAGATGAGAGGCCTAGGAGGGGATGTGCTACTTCCTGGTCAGGTCACAGAACATATATGTTCACTAGAGTTACGGGCCTCTGGTGATGTTTTTAAGTTTGAGGCTCTTGTTTGGGGTTGGAGTAAGTCAAGGTTAACATGTGTGGTACTTTGAATGCAATTGGCCCCAATAATCTTATAAGGAGTGGCACTATTAGGAGGTGTGGCTTTGTTGGAGTGGGTATGCCTTGTTGGAAGAAGTGTATCACTTTGGGGGTGGGCTTTGAGGAATAGTGCCCTGTGAGTCAGTCAACTTCCTGTTTTCTTCAAGATGTAGGACTCTCAGCTATTCCTCCAGCACCCCACCTGCCTGCATGCTGCCATGCCCCCCCACACCCCCCATGATGATAATAGACTGAACCTCTGAAACTTAAACCAGTACCCTCAATTGTTTTCCTTATAACAGTTGCCATGGTCATGGTGTCTGTTTACACCAATAAAACCCTAGTTAATAACATGAAACCTAGAGGGATACTCTCTCAGCCTAGACACACAGGGGAGGGTCTAGGCCCTGCTCGAAATGACTTTGAAGATTCCCCCATGGAAGGCCTCACCCTCCCTGGGGAGCAGAAAGGGGATGGGATAGGGGGTTAGCATGGGGCAGGGGAGGAGGCATCGGTGTGTGCCACCACTGCCTGGCTTGTCCACAGTTTTAAGAGAGCCTTGAATTCAAAACTCATGCCTTCCTCTGCAGGCAGTGACTCTGGCACAAAAGCAGATCCCCTAATGCTTCTCTCCATTGCCTGGTGTTTATAAACTTGGGTTGTCAAATTGTTTCCCACACCTGTTCTTAGCTCTATGGCTTTTGACATAAGTAGCTGTGCTACTACTTTCCCCATGTATGAAATCCCGTATGTCAGTATAATCTGTTGTGAAAGCAGATTTCTGACAGCACTGCAACATTTTATTCAGAAGAAAGGTGAATTTAACTAACAGTTTAAGTACATTTTAAAGGGAAGTGCCTAAAATGGTTTTTATATCAGAGGCTCAATATTTGTTCCTTTGTTTTAGCTTGCCACAAGTATTTGTCAATTAGTTACCTCTAAGTGAGATACACTTTTATTTGTTTAACCATAGATTTGGAAATAAAACCAGCTGCAGTGAACTGACAGGACATCTGATATAACAAAATGTCATGGCTTTTCAAATAAGAAACCTGCCTTAGGGTTTCTATTGCTGTGAAGAAACACCATAACCATGGCAGCTTTTATTTTATTTTATTTTATTTTCAGTTTCTTTTTTTTCCTCCATTTTTTAATTTGATTAGAAACAAGATTGTTTTACATGGCAATCTCAGTTCCCTCTCCCTCACCTCCTCCCCTGCCCCCCCAACTAACACCCTACCTACCCCATACCCTTTCTGCTCTCCAGGAAAGGTGAGACTTTCCATAGGGGGTCTTCAGAGTCTGTCATATACTTTGGGATAGGGCCTAGGCCCACTCCTGTGTGTCTAGGCTCAGGGAGTATCCCTCTATGTTGAATGGGCTCCCAAAATCCAATGACAGCTTTTATAAAGGAAAACATTTCATTGGTGCTGACTTACAGTTTAGTTCATTGCTGTCATGGCAGGAAGCCTGGTGGCATGCAGGAAGACACGGTGTTGGGGAAGGAACTGAGAATTCTACATCTGATCCATAGGAGACAGGAAATGAACTATCACACTGTGTATGGCTTGAGTATATATAGGATCTCAAAGCCTGACTCTACAGTAACACATTTCCTCCAACAAAGCTACACCTACTCCAACAAGACCACACCTCCTAATAGTGCCACTCTTTATAGGCCAAGAATTAAAAATCATTTTTTATAACTACTGTTACTTGTTTGTATATGCAGACAAATAGTATTATTACTATTATTACTTGCTTGTGTACAGACAACATGTCTAGGCGAGAGAGCTACTATGTGGAATCTACTGTTCCTTCCACTTTCACTTGGGTTCCTGGGATCAAACTTTGGTTACCAGGTGTTTGCCTAGCAAACACCTTTGAACTGTCTCACCAGTCTTCCCTTTTTGTATTCTTTAAGTCAAGTTCAGCTGCCCTAATGTGTTTTATGTCTTGGGGTCGACTCAAGCTTGGTTTCTTCCCAGCATTGACAGAGATGAGAGGCCTAGGAGGGGATGTGCTACTTCCTGGTCAGGTCACAGAACATATATGTTCACTAGAGTTACGGGCCTCTGGTGATGTTTTTAAGTTTGAGGCTCTTGTTTGGGGTTGGAGTAAGTCAAGGTTAACATGTGTGGTACTTTGAATGCAATTGGCCCCAATAATCTTATAAGGAGTGGCACTATTAGGAGGTGTGGCTTTGTTGGAGTGGGTATGCCTTGTTGGAAGAAGTGTATCACTTTGGGGGTGGGCTTTGAGGAATAGTGCCCTGTGAGTCAGTCAACTTCCTGTTTTCTTCAAGATGTAGGACTCTCAGCTATTCCTCCAGCACCCCACCTGCCTGCATGCTGCCATGCCCCCCCACACCCCCCATGATGATAATAGACTGAACCTCTGAAACTTAAACCAGTACCCTCAATTGTTTTCCTTATAACAGTTGCCATGGTCATGGTGTCTGTTTACACCAATAAAACCCTAGTTAATAACATGAAACCTAGAGGGATACTCTCTCAGCCTAGACACACAGGGGAGGGTCTAGGCCCTGCTCGAAATGACTTTGAAGATTCCCCCATGGAAGGCCTCACCCTCCCTGGGGAGCAGAAAGGGGATGGGATAGGGGGTTAAGAGGGAACTTGAATTGGCATGTAAAAGAAGCTTGTTTCTAATTTAAATTTAAAAAAGGACAAAGAAAAAGTTAACATGGAACCAATTCTGCCCCTTAGGATGTTAGGGTTAAAGTAAGAAACCAATCCTTAACTCCTGGTTATGAGAATCAACTGGGCCTGGAGCCAAACAAGATCACCTTGCCAAAGAACCAACCTGCTGCAAATACTGGATGGCTTGCTCATGGTTCCTCCTCAGCTGCTCAATCTGAGCGATTTCTTCATATAGGCTAATCAGCTCTGATGTGCCATAACCCTTGGCCATGATGACACTACCAATTGCCTTTTCAAAGTATGCCAGAGCTAGGTTCATCCTGTGCATGGCTAAGGAAGCTCTACAAGACAAAGAAAGAAGGTGGAAAGTCACACAGAGGCCACTTCCTTTGCAGACACATAAGGAATTAATTCCAAGAAGAATTTGTCTTCATAGACAAATCATCTGGACAGCTGGCTCAAAATCCAAGATTGCTTTAAACAAACCCCCATTATTCTGAATTTTGCCCACAAGATCCCACAGACTACCACCATTAGCTTAACACGTTAATATGTTTTACTCTTCTGTAATTTTCATAAAAATACAAACGGAAAAATGTCAGCCAGAAAGTCATAAGACGGGGGATGATTTACTCAGAAGCACAGATGTGGGTCTTGTAATATCAGTAAAGGTGGGATAAGCACCAGCCCTAAGGACTCAGCAAAAAGCTTGTGATTGACATGCTTACATGAGTAAGTAACTCAGGTGATTGGTCGATATGATTGGAACTCATAGCTGGTAGAACTAGCAGTCCTGTACATGGGAGGCTGCCACTATGGAATTAGAAGCTGTACATAAGCATGCCATGCACCTCTTCTGGCTCACAAGCAGACACATTTTCATGCTATTTCAGGTCAGTATGGGGGCTTCTCAGTAGGACAATATCCTGTGCTGCAAAACTAGACCCGAACAGAGCATTCTCCAGAACTGTCATTTGTTGACCTCCTATCAGAAAAAAAAAAAAAGTGTCTGAAGAGTTCCAGAGAGCACAGCTAGGGTTTGGAATTGGACAGCTAAGACTGTAGGAGGCAAGAGGCTCTGAAAGCTGGTATTGCAAGGCTCTCAAGTGAAGATCTAAAGAGCTATCAATGATTAAAAGGTGAGGGTCCTGACTCCGGAGATGACATACCATTTACTGTAGGGTGACAGGACTCAACGCCCAGAGAAAAATGCCTCTGCCTGAGCACCAGGAGCTACAAATTTCTGGCTTCTAAAATCATAAAGCTCTAGGTGTTAGGTGTTGTGAGCCCCCAAAACTCTTGGCTAAATATGATGGCCCACAACTTTATGTCCAGCACTCATGAGACAGAAGCAGGATGATTCCTATAAATTTAAGGACAGCCTGGGCAATAGCATTGAGTTTGACTCAATAAAAAAGAACTCAGGGCTGCCTATTTGTGACTCGCACCTGAAGAGAGCAAAAGGCCTGTCAGCTGGCTATTCTAACAGACTTATCTTGTCCTCAAGATGAGTGTGAATGATCAAGGGCACTGACAGGTTATCTAATCGTTCTTTGAAGCGATAATCTCTTCTATCAACCACACAAATGTTCTCTTGACCAAATGTATTTCTCTTATTCTTCAGACATTAAGGATGGCTCCCATCAAGAGCTTTAAGGGAGATTTTAGCAAGTTGTTTAACCTGAACAATCTTGTCTTAGTGTCTCTGCCCTTCAATGGAAAAAAGGCATTACTAGATATTTGTCTTTACTAGATATTTGATATATATCAACTATAACAGCATGGTACAGAAGATAAGCTATGAATTCAGATGTTTCAATGATAAGCCAAATTCTTCAACTAATTCTGTCACCTTCAGTTAATCTTCCTGGGCCATTTTTTTTTTTTAAGACAGTTTGTCTGTGTAACAGTCCTAGCTATCCTAGAACTTGCTTTGTAGACCAGGCTGGCCTCCAACTCACAGAGATCCACCTGCCTCTGCCTCTCAAGTGCTGGGATTAAAGGTATGCACCACAACTGCCCAGTGCCTTATTTTCTTATCTGTCAAATAAAAATATTAAGAATGCCTACCTCATAGGTTACAGCAAGGCCTGAAAGAAATAAAACTTCAAAGCACTCAAACACTGTGTGGTATGTATTATACAGAGTAAGCATTCTAACACTTAGTACACACACAAAACAGATACTGGTGTGAATGAGTAAAATAAACACTAGAATTGAGAAAAGACAACGTGGTTTTTGTTTCACATAAGGCAGATAACCTTTAAGTAGTGCCCTCTGTGACAGCAGGAGACATTCACCAGACTCTAACTATGGCCCTATGGACTTGAGTCAATAGTCTGACTTTGCTCTGAACATTCCAACATGTCCCCACCATGTCCCATTTGACTTCTAGATTCATGGCTGTTTAGAGCAGGCAGATGTGACGCATGTGTTTCATTTACTTAGCATTCAGTCATCTGCCCTATTGTGCCAAGTGCTTATAGCTTTTGGAAAGAGATTTCTTTCAAGGATGTGAAGATATTTGAAAAATCTGGGGAACAGTAAACTTTCATTATTTCTTTTTCCTGATAATCTGATGGGCCCACTCCCCTTTCTAAATTCTCCATTCTCGGGGGATTCTTAACTCATCTCAAAACAGTTTTAAGTCTTGTTCTGGCTTAAACAAATCCCATGGACTCTGTTTCTACACAGAACAGAGCTTTCCTTAACAGTGCATGTCTGTCCATAGCTCTGATAGTCTCCGATTTGCCTTCTTGAGTGTTCTCTCCTTCTCTGTTACTTCTCTGTCATGCTTGATGACAAAAGTAACAGGCAAGTCAGAAGAAGAAATCAATTCCAAAGTCAATGAAAGGCAGTTACAATAATGAAGGGCAAAGAGATGAGTTTAGATCACATATCCAATACGTACAAGCTATGTCACTTTAGAGCATTGGTTCCCAGCCTTCCTAATGCTGCCACTTTTCAACGCAGTTCCTCATGTCCTGGTGGCCCCAAGCCATAAGGTTATTTTGTTGTTACTTCATAACTTTAATTTTGCTACTGTTATGAATCATAATGTAAATATCTGTCATGCAGGATGTCTGATTTGAGACTCCAAGGGGTCTGGACTCATAGGTGAGAACCACTGCCTGAGAACAAGTGCTTAACCTCAGCTCAATCTCCTGGCTCTCTGAGGAAACCATAACCATACTGAGCACCTCAGTGGTGGCTGTGAGGATTAAGTGTGGCAGTGCATAGTGAACTCACAGGACCCATGTTTGAAAAACATGGCCTCTTGTATTATCAGCTGAGCTCTGGGCTTTTTGCTCTGAGCATCCCCCCCCCACATCCCTTTTTTGATTTTTTTGAGACAGCATTTCTCTGTGTAGCTTTGGAGTCTGTCCTGGCACACTCTGTGTAGACCAGGCTAGCCTTGAACTCACAGAGATCCATCTGCCTCTGTTTCCTGAGTGCTGGGATTAAAGGAGCACATTTCCCCCCTTTTATCAGATCAGAGAAGAGAAAAAAACCCAGACCTCATTCACAAAAGCTTCTGCTTCTTTATGGCCAGATCTTACCTGCCCAGAGCAATGGTTAGGTCTTTATCTGAGACTTGGCTTCCACCAATGTCTCCTTTGTTTAACTCTTTCAGTTCCTTCATGTTTTTTTCCGCTTTCTTCAGGTGGAAATAGGCCTGTTTGCCAGTGGGGCAGTCAAGGCACACTAACTGTCACTCTATAGGGACAGCAGTCTATAAGCTAAGCAAAGGGGCCTTTGGGAAAACAAAGAATTGTTTGAAAGTAGGTATTCAACTGTGTTCTCTATTCTCCATGTGTATGCCATCAAGAAGGGAGAATTCTCTGGAAAAGAACAAGGCCTTGGGTTTCCTGTGGTGACTCCCTGAATCCAGGTCTGGACTGGTGAGTGTCTGCAAGAACAAACGGAAACTGTAAATTATACTAGATTTCCTTTAGAGACATCGACTGCCCGACAACAGTTATTCATTTTTACAAAATTGTTTCATAGCAATGGGAAATAAGAGGAACTAATTATGCTGAAAGGGACTTTTTGGCTCTTTTAGAAAATCCAAGTAAAGCAGGTTTGGTGCCAGAGGCAAATAGCAGGAAAAAAAATCCCCTTAATTCCCAAACATCCTTCCATTTCCCGAATTTCAATCTCTCCCCACTAAGGGTGTACCAGCAGAAAACCACGTACAGGACATAGCAAGCTGACATCCCCAATAGAGAGGAGGGTATCTAGAGGGGGAGAGATAGGGACTTCGGAGCCCAGAATGCTCAACATTACTCAGGAACTCTACTTCTCTTGACACCTTCCAAGTGAAGAGAATATACACAAAGATCAAAACCACACATCTCCTAAGGATAGACACTGATGTCATTCTGCTCTCTAGTGTCCTGGAAGGTCTTGGTATCAAGAGCTTGAATGCTAACATTATACTACTGGGGGATGGAGGAACTTTGATGAGGTGTAGTAGAGTCATGGGAGATGCCCTTGATGAACACAGTAGGATTCCAGCACCTTCCTCTTTGTCTCTCATCTCCCCCCTGGTTATAAGTAAGTGATTTTATTTCACTAGCCCCCCTTGTCATGATGTTCTGCCTTGCTACAGACCCCAAAGCAGAAGAGCCAGCAGCTCTTGAACTAGAACTTCTACAACTATAAGTGTAAATAGCCCCCTGCCCCCTTTATAAACTGAGTATGTCATGTGATACAGGCATATATCAGGGTCTTTTTCTGGAGCCATGGAGAATGCCATCAGTGGTCCATTTGCTTGGCTTCTGTTTTCACAAGTGATATTCTCAATAGCATTTTTAAAAGCATTAGATGATCAAGGACCCATTAAACTAGTGGGTTCTACTATACATTATAGTTACCTGTGGCTTTCAACCAGCTCAAGGAACAGAAAATACCCTATATCTAGTAAAAACTCAAAATTCCCAGGGTTTGGCACTTATTCTTCAAGCTCCCCCAGAGAATTGCAATGGATAGGCAGCTATTTTTGCTAAAGTGCACTTTAAATTACCACTCATCCTCTCCAATCCCACACTGCTACTGCCACCACACCAACATACACATTGTCTGTCACTCTGAGTGTTCCATGAAAAGCCCACCAGACTCAGAACATTCCAGTTGGCTATGGCGTGTATTGCTAGTGAGATACCTTCCATGGCTCAAATCTGGCCTTATAGGAACAAACACAAAAATAAAATGCATTCCTTTTTAGGTGGACAAACACCTAAACAGAGGGCCTAGATTTTAGAACACAGTTAACAGGAGCCAGTTCTGTTATCCACTATCCCATCCAGCATGTGGCCTGTAACCTCCATCACCAGATACACTAGGGAAAGAAAGGATATTGGTTTTGTAGGAGCCAGGCTGTCCCCAGAGTATAGTAGAGTATGACGAGGGATCCCAGGATTCCTTTTCTCTCCTTGTCTGTGGTTTTGTTTTGCTTCCAGGTCAGCAGTGTGCTCCTGGCTGACTCTGCATGTTTCTTGGCTTGAGATGGGAGGCCTGAGGAAGATTAGAGAGGTGGGAGAGACATTAGGAAGTGTCAGGAAAAAAAGACATTACATAAGGCACGGTCCAGTCAAAGGTATTCCTGACAGAGCAGAAGGTACTGCTTGTCAGGTATGGTTCCTAAATCTAGGGAATCACAGTATTTGGAGTGTCCATTCAGCACAGATCCCAGGATCTAACCCAGGCCTGCAAGCTGGAATTGTTAGAAGAATAGGTCTGGGAAACTCTATTCTGAACTCCACAAATGATCTTTATGCAGTCTCCCTGGCATTGATCTGTGGGTCTCAGTTTGGAAACCAGTGACCGACTGGGGTGACAGCTGAGTGACCCCCTTCGAAGTTCTGCCGAAAATGCACGTGACCTTTTCAACTTTCAAAGCATCTCTATCCTTCAAATGGCAAATGGCACTTGGTATGAAAGCTTTCCCTCACCAAGCACATGGAGACATACCAGGCTGGCTTTCAGCTCTCTGGAAAATACATTCTATAAATACAAGGGTTTAGGAATGTAATTACTTCCATCTGAGGTTTCTTTTTGTCCAATCCAAGATGAAGCTGGCCATGCTAATTGAACACACACACACACACACACACACACACACACACACACACACACACACAGAGAGAGAGAGAGAGAGAGAGAGAATCCAATTTCTAAGTGCAGTGAGGCCCCTCACTAGCGAGACGAAGGGAATGCCAAGTACCAGAACTGGTGTGGGTTTCCTCTTGTTTTCTAAGAAAAATCTGCCATTCATGAGAGCTTATCAGAGCTATTTGTCCACTTAAGAGAGGTAGAAGGTAGACTTGAGAACATCATCTATTGGACTACTGCATCATCATCAACCCTAACTCACACTTTTCCCTTTTCTTCATGGGAAAAGAAAAGGGCTAGATACTATCCTGTCCTCTTCCAGCCTACTGAAAACAAGATGCAGTGCTCAATTTTGGCCCTCTCCGAAGGCATCTAGAGCTGGTAAACATGGTCATTCCTGCCAAGTAGGCCTCTTGTGCCCCTAATCCTCACTTCACAACACTGGCTTGTTCCTAAAAAAATTCCGCTTTGCCTTTGGCCGAGAAGCATGGGTTCAACTCAATTTTCAACAAGGATAATTTGAAAGGACTGGCCATTGCTGCCCGAAGCTTTCATATGTTCTAAATGTGCAGGACCTCCTGATTGAGTTACAACAATAAAGGGAACAAAGTGTTCTCTGGAACAGCTCTAAACCTGATCCCGAAGCCAACTCGGCCCTGAAAAGCTTAAGTGAAGAGAAAAGTGGGCTCTGTAAAGAGAGGGCTTGGTTCTAAGTTAGAAGACTGATGGGGCTCTCAGACTTTCCTGTACAAATCCCAGGGCCCTGCTTTCAGCTTCCAGTGGTTGCTGGTTTACAAGCACGGAGGTGAGAAACAAGATTCACCCTTAAAACAGCAATAAGGTCTACAACAGCAACCAAACATTCAAACTGATAACAACTCTCCTAGGTGGTGTTAATTCAGGGTATCTGAGGCCCACACCTGGTGAAGCAGAGTCAGTAAACATCGTATTTCCAAGACAGGGTCTCACTCTGTAGCTCTGACTGTCCTGGAACTTACGATGTAGACCAGGCTGACCCTGACTCACAGAGACCCACCTGCCTCTGCTGTGATCAAATGTGTGCACCACTGTGCCTGGCTAGTGTTAGTAAAATCCTCTTTTCTTGCAAATTTTTTTATTTTTAATTAGAAACAAGATTGTTTTACATGACAATCCCAGTTCCCTCTCATTCCCATCCTCCCCTACCACCACTCCCCCACAACTAAAACCCTACCTATCACATATCCTTTCTGCTCCCCCTGGATGCTGAGACCTTCCATAGGGTGTCATCAGAGTCTATCATATCCTTTGGGATAGGGCCTAGGCCCACCCCTGTGTGTCTTGGCTCAGGGAGTATTCCTCTATGTGGAATGCACTCCCAAAGTCCACACCTATGCTAGGGGTAAAGATTGACCTACTACAGGAGGTCCGGTAGATTTCCAAGGTTTCCTCACTGAAACCCATGTTCCTGGGGTCTGTATCAGTCCTATGCTGGTATCCCAGCTATCAGTCTGGGGAGCAAGAGTTCCCTGATGTTCAGGTCAGCTGTTTCTGTGGGTTTCACCAGCCTGGTCTGGACCCCTTTGCCCTTCACTCATCCTTCTCTGCATCTGGATTCCAGTTAAATCCTCTTATTTTTATGGGCTAATCTTGGTCTTGAAGAGTGGGAAGGATTTGATTAACAGAGAATTTTCCGTCTGAGTAAAGCCTGAGGCCATAAAAATACAAGTGTTAGGAAAGAAGCGGATCAATTAGACTAAAAGTGAAATTTGAACTTAAAGATGTACAAACTGTGGTGGGTCTGTATAATGTAGTCTTGGAGGCTGGCTTTCCTGAGGTACCATAACAGACATTCGAGCTTAGGGCATCTAAGATTAAGATATCTACAGGCAGGTATGCCTTTCTTGCTATATTGACATGGGAGGATGGATCAGAAAAAAAGAGCTGCATGCTTCCTGCAGCCTCTTTTTTTCTTTTGCTTTGTTTTTTGTTTTTGTTTTTCAAGACAGGGTTTCTCTGTAGCTTTTGTAGACTGTCCTGGAACTTGATCTGTAGACCAGGCTGGCCTTGAACTCACAGAGATCCACTTGCCTCTGCCTCCCGAGTGCTGGGATTAAAGGCATGCATCACCACTGCCTGTCCCTGCAGCCTCTCTTATTGAGGCTATAATCTGATCCTTGGGGACAGAACAGTCCTGGCCCAATCATCTTATTGATAATGAAATCAGCTACACTGCTTGATACTTTCACATTTAAGAGATTCAAAATAATGCAGAAGCTAAGATGATGTGTCTGTATCTCACTTGTCAGGCACTTAGGGGGTGTTAGCATCAACTAGTAAACTTTGAAAGCAAGACATTAGAAGTTGGGTTGGTGTCCTAAAACCCAAGACATTAAAATAGGAAACCACCGAGAGAGTCTTTTGATCAAATAAGTTGTTTTCCAAAACCACGTGAACGCTTAGGAGGGTAGTGACCCAACTTAGTTGTCTCCCTGATTCCCTAGGAGGAAGAAGAGTGAACATGGAAGGGGTACTGAACATCCTTGGAGCAGCATAACCTTCCTGGATGAGTGAACTGGAAGCAAAACAGCTACCACAGAGAAACCAACCAGCTCTGAAGCCCCCTACCGCTTCCCACAGAACTGCCTCCTCCTGCTCTGGTGCCTGGCTGGCTATGACATCTCCAAGAGGAACTAACTCTTTTCTAGCAGGCTCACCTGCCAGTTAATTACACAGTTGCTCCACACTCCTGGGTCCCCAGTGAAAACACTGAATTCACAACCAGTGGGGCTTAAGGAGACTGAGCAGAGGTTTGGCACCATCACATGGGAAAGTGCTGCTTTTGAGGCCTCTCTGGTTTGGATAAGGTGCATGTACTCCTGTGGGCAGGCAAGATGCCATCATGTATTGGGGGACCAACACTTCAGTGCTGTTTTTAGCCTGTTCTTTTTTCCTGTCTTATAACTATTTATAGTAGTATATATGTTAATACGGTTGAACCTGCCTTGTAATAATGACATAAATGGAGAGCACTCAAGCATTTTTAGTGAAAGGGAAGTGAATTCTGAAGACTTTGGAGATCACTGCTCTAGAGAAATGTGTTCCAGCCTTTTCAATATGAAAGAGCTCTGTTTGTGTCTGAAGTATTCCTACAGTTTCCCGTTTTCTGATAGCAATTATTTTTATGTTTAAGAAAGTGCATGATAAAATGTCCCCCAAGCCATTATCAGTGACACTTTAAAATGAATTTGCATTTTTAATTGAAAAATACTTCCTTGCATGTGAAAAAGACAATTCTGCACATATACATATACATGAGACTTTTTATAGGGTCTTCCTAAGGAAGGATGTCCCAGGTGCCTAATCAGACAACTCTAATCTCCAAGTCTTCAACCCCAGGGGCTGCTCACTCATTTTCCTTTCTCTGCCCTCCCAAGCCTGGGGCATCACCACCCTTATTGTTATGTGCATAAATGAGGTAAAAATCAGAGTGGCATCAAAGCCTGTAGGAGCCTGAGTCAGTGGTTACAGGTAAATGCTGGTGAACTGTAAAATGGATTCAAACTTGTCCAGTACACATATTATTTCACTTTAGTGTGGGCAGTATTCTCTGATATCTCTCTTTCCTCTCACTCTCCCCACTCCCCCCCCTTTGGTTTTTTTGAGACAGGGTTTCTCCTTGTATCTCTAGCTGTCCTGACTCACTGTGTAGACCGCTGACCTTGAACTCAAGGATCTGACTGTTTCTGCCTCCTGGGTGCTGCGATTATGGAATAAGAGACCAAGTTCAACAGTCAGATTTCCTAGAATAAGTCTTGACATAGCCACATCTTACTAACCACATGGCCTTGAACTAATTATTTAGTTTACCTGTGCTTCAATATTTATCTTCCTAAAAGATGCTAATGAAAACACCTTCCATGTTATTTTGGTCTTAATGATCAATTTAACTCACAAGAAAGGATTAGGTGGCACTGGAATAGAGTCTGGATACATATTAACCACTATTATTTCCAGAGCCAGTTTCTCTTATTGAGTAATTTATTACATCTGTCTTAACTTTGTGCATTTTTCATGATTCTTCTAAGACTCAAAGGCAAACTCACTTTAAGCTGGAGTGGGATTCCTTCAGGCTAGATCATCTGTGGGAGTTTTTGTTTGCTTGTTTGTTGTTTGTTTGGCTTTGTTTTAAATCATCCTCAGTTGTGTCTGTACCAGGTTCTAATTAGAGAAAATAGGGCCCATGCCTTTTACTTTTTCTGGTTTTGTAGCACATGCAACAGAGCTATGAATACCTGGACAGTTCCCAATTAAAACAAGCTAACTGATTAATTTACTGTCTCAATAATAAGAAAAATAGCAGGAAACTGCCTGTCCATATACCATATGCTCCTTCCAGTGCACTTGGAAACTTCATCACCATA